TCAGTTATTAGAAATAACGTAGAAAACTTAGGGATTCGAATGAATTATTCCCAAATAATTTCTTAAATTCAAATATATAAATTCAAATATATTTCTTAAATTCAAATATAATTTCGTATAAAATAACAAATAACCCGACATGTAAACATACGGAGAAGTAGAAAGTATTTTCGAAATTGTTCGAATCAAAATTTATCCAAACACAAACTAAAAGATAAAATTGAGAATTATTTCGTTTGACAGCCAAGTAATAACACGTTATTTATATTTAAAATCTAGATAAAAATCATGTTCACTTCGTAGTTACTTCGAATAACATCCATCCAAGAAACGTATCGTTCAATTTGTCATTTTTGAATAATGCCCTAACCTAATAAATCATATTTCAATTTCCACTCTTTGAACGAGCCTTCTCCTGAGAACTTTTTTAAATCGTCTTTCTCCTCATCTTCCTTCGGCGACTCGTTCGCGCGTGCACGCGATATCGCGATACGAGGCGGGACGCGCGCAGAAATGAACAATTTCGATGCACTCGGAATTCTCAAGCGACTCTGGAATTCCCTGGAAATTTCGATGCTCTCGCGGCCAGCCGAGGATCGAGGATAATCGTCCTCCGTGACGTCGAACGAAAATCGTCCGCATTATCGGACGATCGCGCGAAATTTCACGGCAAACGACGCGTTTTCACGCTCTCGGGGAATCGATGATGGCTCTCTCGCCGCCTTCCGAGTTCGTCGTTCAGTGAATACGTGCCTTGGAATGTTTCACAAGGGAAATACTGACTGCCAACGATTTATCGCGACAAAGGACTCGGTGTTGTGTCGTTTTCGCGAGAAATTCAAGAACGAGTAACTTATTTCTTTGCAACTCGTTGAATCGTATTATTCACGCAAGACTGATCAACGATATAACCCTTTGTGCTCGATTTATCTTCAATGTTGTTGAATGTAAACTTGTATTTAGTTTTAGGGAAATGAATTAAGGTGAGGAGAAAAAAATTCCGCGCGCGGCTTGTAACTACAAACATAGTGTTTTACTTTAGTTATTTAATGTTACCATCTACAGCGTCACGTACGTTTTAAAGTAAATTAGTGTTGCCAGCTCTAGCATGACATACGAGTTATATAACAAATTTGTATTGTCGTCTCCAGCACAACTAAAAAAATATATATATATATATCTAAATATATATCTAAAAAATATATATATTATTAATATATCTAAATATATCTAAATATATTATTATAATATAATAACTTAATAATATATCTATATATTTAATAATATATCTAATAATAATAATAATATAATAATAATTAAATTATATATCTAATATTAATATAATAATAATAATATTATAATTTAATAATTAAATAATATTATAATAATATATCTATATATATATATATATATATATTATTAATATATCTAAATACATATCTAAAAAAATATATATATATTGTTTTTTTTTGTAAAATAACAAAAATAAATATATATTTAGAAATTAAATGTTTGTCGTATTTATTAATATCTAGTCTTGTCAAAAATAAATTTAATTTATATAAAAAAAAAGACTAGAGTCGAGAACGCTTAAAACACGATTAAATAAAGGTGGTAGTGCACGAAGCGGCATCGGAGGAATCGGCTGGCAATTCCTCGAGACTTCGAGGAGCGGTGCAGCGAGAGCGCTGTCTAAGAAACGCGACGAGAAGAGAGACGTCTTTGCCCGACTTTTGAAAAATGAGAAAGCGGCCTGGGAAGCGAATTGACAATTCCGTAATAACGCGAGTAGATTTATAGTCAGCTGACGCTGACATGGCGCGTTAATAAGCGCTGCTCCCCGCAATCGTGTAACGAGGGAGAAAGAAAGGAAGGAAGAAAGAGAGAGAGAGAGAGAGAGAGGGAGAGAGTGGGATCAACAAAAGAAAAAGAACTTGCTTCGAGTGAGGAAAGGAAAACCTATGTCGTATATTTCAGATCTTGCTCATGTGTTTATCACGTGAAGATGATATACGACGTAAATGTGTGTAAAATCTGCATTCTCTTTTCTCAAATATTACGCGCGAAATTGACAAATATGCGCAGCATCTCGTCATTTTGTCATTACCGCCGCAGCCGCTTCGAGAGACAAAATGTCAGCTGTGGAAAATGAACAACGTCAACGTGCACGTTGAACGTATCGGAACAACGACGAGCAAGGCGTGACGCTCTGAAATATGACACAAGGATTTCGTATAAAGCGCCAACATTCGGTGAAACGAAAACCAGAGGCAATTTTCGTCGCCGTATATACGAGAGGGAAGAAGAAGGAAGGAAACAGCGGGAAAGGGAAGAGAGGGAAGAGGAGGAAAGTATGAGGTCAAACGAGCAAGAAGCAGACTGATTGAGCCGATGACTGGAAAGGGGGGTGGAGGGGATTCCCTCTGGCGAAAAGAAAGAGCAACTTAATAAATGGGATCTTAATGATTTCAGGATGATATATTAAATTTCTTTTGGAACAGGCTGTTGAGACGAGAGGTACTATGACGCTTCTCGTATATGTGTTTGTGTTTCGGGTTGAAACGAATGCATCGCGGACGAACTGAGCACGGAAAAACGGAAGAGCGATGGTAAATCTCATGGAATTACCCTAAAAGGAATTTCGCAAGTAATCCTTGCATCAGCGGATGCAAGGGAGGAAGGAGATAAAGCGCGGAGGGGAGGGGGGAGGGGAGAAGAAACGGAATTCGAAAGAGGGAAATGTCCCTCGGGGATTCGGTCTGGCTTCGGTGGATTCGCAACCGGCCGTGGAATTATTCATGCGTTAATAAACAGCGTTCGGGGATCGTGTATATCAAGAAAATGAAATAGAAAGGGAGTTTATCGCGCGACGAGCACAGACAGCCCGGGTTCTTTAAACGAGGATGCTCGTTTGCTGCCGAAGATACCTGCTACTGGAGCAACGAGAGAGGACGCACAGCGTTTTCCAAGATATACGAGGAAATATCAAAATGTTATTCCGTTTGAATGATAGTTGGAATATTATTCTGAACTTTGCAAGTAGACTGTGGATTTCTATATGTGTCCAAGAGAGAAATTTTTACGATTTTATCGCCGGAGCTGAATTTTTATTTCATTTCTGGAAAGAAATACCGGTTTGCGTAAAAATGCACGCATCTATTTACTTTAGAGAAATATATTTTCATTGAGCTAAAATCCAAAAGTCGAACGTTAATTTTTGATTTCGAATTTTAATAAAATTCTGTTCTGCTTTTTTGAACGATACCGCACAAATATAAATAAACCTTTGAGGTTCTCTTTTAAGAAATTATCTTAATATTAATAATATTATAATATCTTAATTTCAATATTATTATAAATTATCTTAATATTATTGTAATATTAATAATATTAAGATAATTCCTAAATGAAAAGTTACAGTGTGTTTCTGAGATATGTAAGTGTAGCTTTCCAACTCATTCAGCAATTACGTATGAAAAAAGAAATTTACAAACTTTGCCTATTTCTCGACAATTCAACGTAGCTCACGTTCGAGACAGGATTCCAAATTGACTTCTCAATCTCGCAGCAATTTTTCCGCGTGTCTGATACGTAATCGCGTATTCAGAACACGTGCAACAATAGAAAAAAGATCATTTTGCTCTTCCTCTGACGCCAACAGCTTCTATTCATCTTGACAGAAAGAATTTTTCTCGGAATTGCACGTTGCAATCTCGTCTCCCGGAGCAAATTTCATAAACCCATCACGGTGTCAGCAGAATGTAAATAAAAGTATATCGTTTAGGGTGTTCGTCGTTGATAGATCGTGTTCGCAAATGAGACAACGGAAAAGTTGGCAAAACAGTCGAGATGAACGTGAGATGTGTGGCGAAACTCAGAGTGGAGGGGGATGAAAACGAGTGGACGAGCGAGGAACGAGGCGGCACGAGAGATTGGCAGGCAGAAAATGAAGAAAAAGCGGGAGGAAAAAGCGTGCTAGCGAAAAGGAATCTGCTTGCGAGAGGGAAAGATGCCACGTGCACGAAATGGTGAACAGGCGTGAAAGAAAAGAGACAGTGGAGTGACATGGACGAAGAGAGGTCGTGGTAACGGATGGTATAAGCGACAACGAAGGGGTAGGTGCGGGAAAGGAACTACGAAATCTTTTAACGATGACTTTACAAGAAGAGAAACCGCGAGGGCAACGATGGTAAAATCGAAGTTCGCGGCGACTCGAGCCGCAAATTGACCCCATCTCGTAACTTTGCCTCTTTCCACCTCCTTCCCCTGCCTTTCTTCTTCTTCTTCTTCTTCCACTTTCACTTCTTTTTTGCCCCTCTCGCGCGCCTGATGTTCATCACATGTCATACGTCATTAACTATATTCACAACCCGTGTATAGTAGCTGCCGAACGTTTTTTCTTTTCTTTATATTTTTGCGAAAAAGAGAGATCTATTAAAGTAAAATTCAGCTTATAAAATACCGTATATAGGTATAAATTCGTCTTCGAGAGGAAATTTCTTTTAGGAAACTTTTTTCATACGTTGAGTGTAATTCTTCGCGGATAGATTGCGGATTCTCATCGCAGAGTTCTATTTTTGTAAATATAACTGAGAGTTTGTAAAAATAAAACTTTGATTAAATGTTTTAATTAGCGCTATATGTATATTCTGTGCAATCCTGCAATTTAAAAATTTCGTATAGGAAATCCGCAATCGATTTGTTATATTACTTTGCAAGATGTTGGTTTATAAGTTTTCGAATTTTTAATTACTTAATTGATATTATTGTACTATCGATGGTCGTAACAATTTAGGTTTCGTATTATTTAATTTCGGGATTTTTAATTCTAATTTTATTATTAATCACTATCAATAGTAAAATATCAAAATCTCAATAATATAATTATAATAAGCATTTGTAATGATTAATTACAAGCGGTTAATATCAATAATAATACGTGTTTTGTATATCTTTGTTCGATAAAAAGATGCAACTATCTGTTTTCTTTTTGATTCAAGGTACCAGTTTTTCCTGCAAGTAAAGCAGGATATCCTCCAAGGGCGACTTCCTGTGTCGTTCGACCTGGCCGCGGAATTAGGAGCTTACGTCGTTCAATGTAAGAGCATAACATTTTTCCACATTTCTTTCGTGAAACAATATATATATATATATAGGCTACAGTGTTTTATGCATTTACGGGAAACTTGAAGGTACAGTAACGAATAGAACGCACGCAATATGATAAAACATATATAACAAAGTTTTTTATTTAGGTTCCATTCTTCTTTTTTCTAACTCTGTTCGTAGAATGAAATGAATTTGCATGAATCATCCGCAGTCTACTAAATAAATGTCGCAGTTGTTGGCAATTTTTACGTGATTCATTGTCAAAACAGAATAAAACCGCGATGCGTAATTAATTTTTACGCAGACGTCGCAAGCCGCGCGTGTTGCTTCATAGAAAAACTGTCTCGAACAATTTTCAGTTGATTATCATACTTTCTAAACCGTCACGTCGATGAAAGAGACGTGCATAAACACAATCGAACCGAATCATCTTAAAATCCATCAGTTCCCGATTCCGTGGAATCGCGGCGCGATTAAAGTGCACGTCTGCGCATCATCTCCCCGAGGTGGAAATACGAAATAATTACGACCGGTCGAAAATGCGATGCGAACAGCCGACACGTACAAATTATGCCGCTCGATCACGGGAAATATAAAAGAAGAAGGAAAGCAACGTTGCTCGAACGATCGAAATTCCGGTTTCTTTCTTTCTTTTCCTTTCTTTTTCGTTTCTTTTTTCGGAAGCAAGGGCAGATTTTTCAAACGGAGCGAGGCTGTAATTTCCCGAAGGAAATGCATCGTACGAATGTACATATCGCGGAGGCAAGAGCGATCAATCAGACGGTTAATATATTCGCCCGATTTCTTTTGGCAAAACGCGCGGCTTTCCGTTTCAGCCGGCCGTTTAGATACGCGAAGATTATTACCGCTTCTAATGAACGTTGTGATTAAAATTGGTGGCTTTAATTAAATCTCGGACGTATTAATCTTCTCAAGGTCAAAGAAAGTTAGCCGGTAGACGCAGGAAGAGGCAGGAGGGGCCGGTAATACCGTTGCTGCAAACCATGTCCGTTGCAAAGCTGGATTAACTCTTCTCTCCTTCCTTTTTCCCGGCTCGAGCAACGAGACAATCTTTCTTCTGTTTTTTGTTGTCTTCTTTTTCTCTTTCTCTTTTAGAGCGAAAAGAGAGTCGTGCCTGTGTGTTAATTGAACGAAATAATTTAAGAGGGACTCCGCCGGAGAAACAGAGGCCACCGTATCGAGAGGAATCGGGATTTAAGAATTCAGAGAGACGTCGCGCGATTCCGTTCGTTTGGCAGAGATCAAGCAAATGCTGTTTTGTCAAAGTTCGCAGAAAAGTTCAGAGTCTTTCGGCAATCATTCTCTAGAAATTTTATCAAAAACTGTTTGACACTCGTGCATTTTCACTTTCAATAATTGGCAGAAATAATTTAACCCTCTGTAACCAGAATTTCGCCCTCTCACGTAATAAGATTTTTACACGGATAAGTATAATACTTTCTACAACATTTAGTACGTGAAACAATTTTCTGTCGCGATTCTTTTGTACATTATTTGCGAATTAATAAATTATCTGCAGTGTAATTATTACCATTTTCTCCAATCTAAAGTCTAGTAAACTGATAACTGTTTGATCTCTCTCGTAACGTTCTGCAGATGAAACACAACAATGAAACGATAATCGAACATAAAATAAAAGTATCCTACACGCGTGAAATTTCCACAATGTGGCCTCGAGTTAATTTTTGAGACTGGCTAAACACGACGCGAAATTGTCGCAAAGAAAACTGCTCTAAGTGAAACTAAGAGCCACGTCTAATTAAGGGAAGACAATTCGAAGGCGTGACGAACGAACCCGTGAGTCGCGAGCACACTCAGACGTAAAGGAAAATCGCTTAAGCGAGTAATCTCGCGGAGACAATTTGCCAACGTAAACCTCAAATGGTCTCCCGAGTGCCTCGTCCCTCATTAGAGATGCCGCTATAATTCTGAAAATGAGGCGTAGCTCCTTTTGTTTCGTCGTCAACGGCTCGACTTTGCTCGCGTCGTCTTCCGGTACGATTCGCGCCGCAACCGTCCTTGAATCTCGCACGCAAAGAAGAGATTGTTCTAGTCTTCCTATCTGGAATGGCGCAGGGTTATCGAGATGGAGTGGCTCTCAGCTAAATGACTGCGAAATGATTGGTCTTCGACAGATTTTGCAACGAAATAAATTACAGAGAAACGTAGCAACGTACATACGCAGATTGTTAGAATTTATTAACAAAGATTAAGTTCCATTTGAGTTTGTTCCGTGCTATAGTAATATTATATTAATATTAATATTATTACTATATTATTATAATATATTAGTAATATTATATTAATGTTAAAAGAATTTAAGTACTTGATATGTTTATGATAGAGATTGGCAATGAAATTAAATCAAATCAAAAATTACACAATTGAGTTTTCGACAGATTTTGCAACGAAATAAATTACAGAGAAACGTAGCAACGTACATACGCAGATTGTTAGAATTTATAAACAAAGATTAAGTTCCATTTCAGTTTGTTCCATACTATAGTAATATTACATTAATATTAATATTATTACTAATATTATCACAATATTATTAAAATATAGTAGTAATATTATAAGAATTTAATATTATAGGAATTTAAGTACTTGATATGTTTATGATAGAGATTGGCAATGGAATTAAATCAAATCAAAAATTACACAATTGAGCTTTCGACAGATTTTGTAACAAAATAAATTACAGAGAAACGTGGCAATGTACGCAGAATTTATAAACAAAGATTAAGTTCTAAGTTGGAACATAGCAGTAATTTTATATTAATGTTATAAAAATTTAAGTACTTGATATCTTTCTGATAGAGATTAACAATGGAATTAAATCAAATAGAAAATTACATAATTGAGCAATGATGAGACATAAATTTCTGTGACTTTGAATATTTGTATTAGTTAATTTTACGAATTAGCAATGTTCAACTTTTTTTCATGAGAAATTTTTGAGAACTATCAGGTCAATAATTTAGCACCATTTATACATGTACATATATTGGAGTTCGATCAAAAGAGCCGAGTGAAACACATAAATAATATTGAATAAGTATAACAAATTAAGAATATATTCATCTTTAAAATTTTGATGTATTTTTTTCAATACAAATGATTAATATATATATAATTAGTATATATTTTATAAATATATCATCAATATAAATAATTATAAATACATATGTAATTAGTATAATTTCATCCTCTTTGATCCATCATTAGTCGATAAAAGTCAAAAATAATTAGCTTAATAATTATCGAGTGGTATTTGATAAATTCCTGATTACCGAGTGCTACCGATAGCTTTCGATAAGAGGGAGCTTGATTCAAATGGCCTCCTCTGCGTTTTCAGCGAAGCTTCATTTACCGTAATTTGTACCGAATTAATGCTAACATTTAATTACCTTGTTTAATTAGCTTGATGCGACGTACAGTATTTCGCTTAACGCGCATAATTTCGCGAGTAATTAATTTAGTTGTACATTAGCACGTTCCTATACGGAATTGTAAGAAAATTCGTTTCTTTCGTCAGTCAAAATTCATTTATCAAAATGATGTTACCACGTCAATTCAAAATTACTTTTCCCGCAATTTTACTTTAAATTTCAACGTAGGTGTAACTGATAATGAAATAAATTTGTGTGGCCAGAGAATAATCAATTTTGCAATTTTTCACAGAAATTTTATTGCATTTTTGAAGATTCGAAAGCTTGTGTACTTTATCACGCTGTTCTTGCAATTTCATTCCTCACAAAATAAATTTCATCAATGGTAATTCACTAGAGTAAAGTCCAAATAAATTAACATTAACCTTCAAGTGATGTCGCGTGATCGCAGATAATTAAACTTAAGATATTTAATTTCCGTTTGAATGAATAAATAAAATTGAGTCAAAATTTCAAAATTAAGTAAACTTTTACGGTGCCTAATGATGAATTATTGAGGCTCAAAGATCTGCCGAATCGATTTAATTAATCTGCTTTAATTTCAACTTTCAACCGTTGTCTCCCATTAACACGCGAAATATCCAATGAAGAAAGGTGCGCGACCTCTTTAAATAAAGGGTCGTTGCACCGTTCTCATTACCCCCGTCCATTTTTTCGCCGGATATTACCGCCTGCTAGAGCGAGTCGCGCAACGTCCGATAAGATTTCGCACGGCGGGGAGATCAGCGTTGCGCCTGCGGTCGCATCGAAGTAGACAAAACACGACGAGAACGATGAAACGTGTGCAATTTTTATCGCGATAACGCGCGCCGCCTTGAAACCAGCGGATCGTGGAATCAGCGGAACGTGGCGCGAGAGCGGGACAGAGCGGCCGAGGGGAAATTTCACGGGGCAACGCCTAACGCTCGGGCACGCTTATTTCCGAGAGGAGTCTAAACAAAATTGCATGGTAGGTGCTACATTATGCACCCACGCGGCACAAAGCCGCCACGTCGAAATTACACTTCGCGATCGTTTCTTTTTCGTCGCCTTTCCGGTGAGCGAGCAACGCGCGCCACGCCGTGCCCCCCCATCGAAATTAGAGATCGCGGTTTTCAACGCGTACTCGAAATACACGTGCACTCATACACACATGGCACGAGAGTCGAGGAATTAAGGTTCCTTAAGGACACACGTGCACGCGTTTTTACGTTTTTCATGTGTGATGTAATAGTTGCGGTAATAACGTATCTGTATCGTTGATTCACAGAAGTATTCAGACGCTCGATGAGAACGAAAATATGGTGCAACGTTCGAGCTTACCTCAAAGCGTGAAATCTCTACCGAACCAGTATCTTTTGTCTTCAAAAATATTTCAACGTCTTGTAGATTGGAAAAATGGTGATAGTTTTCTTCAAAAGAGGAAAAGTAGATATTCAAACATCCTGAAAAGTACCTTTTCTTTCTCTGTGACCAAATTTACAACGATCTTGAGAATTAAAATGTTCGCTCGTTTATAACAATCCTTTAAATCCCT